CATGAGCTAGGTGAACATGTACGAAGGCGATCTTGGTCCGGTAGCGGCGGCGGCGGCCACAAAAACCAGCTCAATCACAAAGGTCGACTTTCACAGCCTGATTGCGGAATTGCGTAACGACTTTTGTCGCGCCGCGGAATGCCTCCGTTTCCGTTTGCTTCTACCAGCTTCGTTTTAGGAGAGCAGAACTTCGACACGATCCGGTTCGCCACTTACCGTACGGCCTGTAAGCTCAGGTTCATGCAGAAAAGCGTCAACCGTACGTCGTTTGTAATCGGCGAATTCGTCATCTGATTTGTGTTTTTCTGTGTTTTAAAACTTTTCAGTACACCTAGTCGATATATGGAACGTCATCGAGTCGTTTCGCGAAAATGGTCTCAACACCGTCGACTACAAGGCCGAGGTGAAGTTGTCGCGCATCGAATTGCTGCTTTCCACCGTGTACCATAACCTGAACAAGCGGTTGCCCGTTTCGCAGCAGATCGACTCGGACCGCACGATCGCACTGCTCGTCAACTTCCTGTCCGCCTGCTATGACCGGTAAGTAAAGTGGCAGCTGGTGCGGCGTTACGGTTGCTGCCTCTGGTTCCAAGTTCATATCTTGACCGGCGGCCAGACGTGCCGCTGACCGATGACCGATTTCGCAGTTGTTATTGTATTCGATTATTTTTAGTACCTTTCCGTTATGCCGGCCATCTTCATACAGCAACACTCTGCTCATCAAATAAAATTAATTATCGCCTTCAACGACGTTTGCTGTAACGATAGTGCATAGCGGTGCAGTTATTGTAACACAGTGGCAGAATCAAACAGAAATAGGAATTTTTCTAAGCTTCTTAGCATAGAAACGCTTATCCTAAAAGAATAATTTATGGCTGCTTATTAAATACCGCATACAGTTTAACATTTATCAGCATAGAAACATCAGAAAACATTTGTCCCGTTCATTCTTTATTCCGTTTTGAAAATTTGTTTCAAAAATGAGGGTCAAGATTTAGTCAGTACGTCGAAAGATCGAAGGTCTGTTTTATAACAACTTAGGACAGCGCCATTTCATCAAAATTCCGTACCACATCTGCCATGAGTTCTGCATTGACATGCTGAACGTAAAAACCTGAATTCAGGAACATATAACAGCGTTTGCAAGCAGGAAAAAAAATCTTATTCTGCGTTGGTTAAACATTCGTACAGTTACGTAAATTAAGCAGCAATGGCGTGCGAATTGACTGTTCTGACCGTGCAGTAATGATCTCTGAAGTTCAAGAAACAGCATTTATGAAATCATTTATCATGTCGTGTTGCAATGCCGGATAGAAAAAAATATGGTGCAACCGTTGAAGTACCGGTCTTCACATTTTTTGCGATGGGACCGTTTTTCGGCGCGTCTCTTTTCATGAAGTTAATGATACGGCACTGATCTCCATTTCCATGCCATCACTAGGATAGAATAGACAGCAGCAATGTGGAAAACATTGCGAGAGGCCTCATGCTTCCTTCCCACATTTGGTGCAACCTCAGAATTAAGAAAGGCGAGCAACCTGACTGGTGTTCGAACCCGGAGCCTCACAGTTCTGAGTCAGATATCTTACCGATTGAGAAGCTCAGGTCCCTGCTGTACCGAAGTCAGCTATAATGATTTTTTCTCACCGGCTTCCACTTCTGATATTCATAAGGTAATTAAGTGTCACATGCTTTATATTATTATCTGTATAGCGCTATGTTGCATTTCATTTTGTTATCCCTGAAGAAGGCTACCGATCACCACTTTGTTGCTTGCACGCTTTGCTGTAAAAAATGGAGTAGCATGCGAAGATCAGGTGGCAGAAGCAACCAGAGAATCAAATAAACATTATCTTCGGTGGACACGAGAGCGAAATTTCCAAGCAGCATCGCGCGACGGTTTGAACAGATCCTGGTGATGACAACTCATATGGAAACCGAATGGCAGCTGTTTAACAGCGGCATACTCGAGGCTGCCGCCGAATGCTGCGAATTTAAGCGGGTTGGTCTGCCGCCTGGAAGTCAGGAAGGATCTTCCTGGTGAACACGAGAGGTACAACTGGCACTCAAAGAGAAGAATACAGCGTTCAAGAAATGGCTTGGAAACAAAGAGCCTTCTACTCGCGTGCGATATGTCGAGGCACGTAAGGCGGCAGCGAAAACCAAAACTGATTCCTGGGAGAAGTTCGGTAAGGTGTTGGAGTCGAATTTCCACACTTAAAACAAGGTATTCTGGTAAACCATCTGCCGGCTCCGTTGTGAAAAGAAGGACTGTCTATGTGTCTTGAAGGACTGGACTGGACACTTTCTTACTGAGGATGATGACATCCTTTGGCGATGGAGAGCGTACTTTGAGGAACTCTTTAACATCGAGCAACCGCAGGAAGACTCTGCTGTAGAGCAGCAAGGAGTGGATATTAATATCTCTGTAAATGAAATTAAACAAGCTGTGGAAAGCTTGAAAAATGGAAAGGCCGCTGTTATTGATGAATTCCCCCTGAAATGCCGCTCAAGGCATTAAGTGAGCAAGGCATGGGCTGGCTTACACGTCTGTGAAACAGCGATGACTACGGGAAAGACACCAGCGGACTGGAGAACGGGATTGTTGTACCCGTATTCAAGAAGGGAGATCACAGGGAATGCTCCGATTATAGGAGCATAACGTTATTGAGCCTCCCAGGTAAAGTCTGCGCAAAGGTGCTAGAAAGGAGGTGCCGTGAAAT